GGGGGGCAGGGCAGCCCCGCGGCCGCGCTCGGGGCCCCTCGGGTGCGGAGGCTGCTCCTTAAGCCCCTCTTTCCTCCCCTAAGCGCCTTAGGAAGGAGGGGCGAGAGACGCCAGGGCTTTTTATAGCGGCTATAATCCAAATGCTCACACGCTTCCCGGGCCCTGGCCTTGAACGCCGGACGAACCCCCAAGACACTGGGATTCCCAGGGACTCGCATCCCACCGGAGCCGCTCCAGGGCTCGAAGCCTCTTTCCAGAGACACCTGAGGGCCATTCCCACCCCCACCAAACACCCTGTGTCCTCTCCTGGCCTCGGCTGTGGGCAAGCAGGGCTGGAGGTGCCAGCGAGGACACGGCCACGATGTCCCCTCAGCAGCAGGGCCATCCCCGGGGAGCCCCGGATCTCAGGGGTGAGGTTTGGGGATTCTCTGAGGTCTGCTTGAAAGGCTGAGCCCCAGCCTCGGCCTCGCTGTCGGCAGAGGATGCTCTGGTGTCTTTCTCCTTGAGCCAAGTTCCTCATCCCAGAAAGTGTGTACCAGGCATTGAGCACCTTGCAGAGCTCTCCCCCTGCCAGCAGGGGCCAAAATCTGCCAGAGAGCTGGAGAGTTTGTGGGAAAGGACAGGGAGACCACAGAGACACACGGCGTGAACATCAACCCTGTATTTGCGGGAGGACTTGTGGTTTTGGGGAAGTCTGTGACCGGCTGGCGCAGCCTGAAGCACAAGTGACTGCTCTGAGAAAGCCACCAAGGGCTGGCAGTGTCCTGCATCATCCCCTTGTAGCAACAGGGAAACTGAGGCAATCTGGTGCTTCGTGCGCGCTGGGGCCACTGCACCCCCATTCCAGGCAATCCCATATGGGATCCGATGGTTTTACTGCCCACGAGGGAAAACTGCCTTTTCTCCCCTGCTCCCCAGAGCAGGGTGTTTGGGTGAAGCCGCCCTGCTCCAGGCACGAGGCTTGGGAAACGCTGCCGGGAATACCCAGCCCCACAGCCTGAGCGACGCAGCCCCACAAGGAGCTGCCTCCCTTCTGCCAGGCTCGTCCTGAAGCGTTTGCTCTCATTCCTCCTTTAAACTCCCCATGAAATAAAGAAGGAGTGGTTCTTTCAGGTCAGGCTGGGCTAAGACGATAAGAACAGATTAATTTCTCAGAAGAACAATTGAGATTTTCCCTCCCCTCCCACCAGGGATGCAATCGGGATGGTGGGGACATGGGAGCTGGGTTCCCAGCTAGCGGCATCACTCAGGGATGTCCCCAAGTTCCAGGCCAGCGTGGTGACCGGGGGGACCACACCAGGCCACAGGGGGATTCAGGATACGGCCAGGGGACCAAGTCCCTTGGAGCCAAGTCCTAGTGAGGCTCTTCACTCTGGCTGGTGGGATCCATCCGTGGACTGGCTGCCGATTCAGGTGCCCCAGGAGCTGTCTGGATCCTGGGTGAGTGGCGAGGGGTTGGAGCTGCCTGTGCAGGAGCCCCTGTTGCCCCAGGCAGGCTCGCCTGCACTCAGTGCAGATTCTCTGATGTGTAATAGGGGTTAAGCCCATGCTGCAGCCCTGTCCTCGGAGGCCGGACACGCTCCAGCATCTCTCCCTTTGCCTTGGCTGCCTCTTTGCATGAAACACAGAGGAATTTCCTGCCTGGGAGACATCTAACTCTGCCAAATGCAGCTGAACGCAGCCCAAGGAGAAGCAGGGTCGGACGGACAGCTGGCTCGCAGGCATTTTGCTTCTGGAGGGAGGGCAGCGCCTCTCCTGTCCCCCAGCTGCTTGTGACTCCACTCTTCCCACTTCCCCACCCTTTCTCCATGATCCCCAGGCACCGCCGCAGGGCTGCGGGCAGGATCACACAGCCATGCCCAGCTTCGCTTCTCTCCATCCCTCAGCTCCTGCCCACCTGCCTGGGCTGGGGCCACCGTTCCCATCCTCACCAGGCTCGTCGCAGCCGGCGTTCCCGCTCCAAAGGTCCAAAGCTGCCCTTTGGATCCATGCTGGGATCACGGATCTGCACCGAGGCGTGTGCACGTGCCTGTGCATGGGACGCACCTCACGGCCCTGGTGCCAGGCTCTCAGCCTCTGGGAAAAGATGATTTTTCACAGACCCTCCTTCAAGGAGCCACTGCAAGCGGCTTAACGGGCTGTATTTCTTCAGGGCCTCGCAGAGCGGCAGGGCCTGGAGGGAGCCGAAAGCCCTGAGGACTTTTAAACAGCTCCCACTGCTCGTTATTAAAGTGTTTTAGTGCCTCGTTAGGAAAGCCT